CATATTCATGGTTATCGTCCATTGTCAGCAGAATCGTCAAAATCATCATCATCAACATCATCATGATCATGCTCCCGAAAGTCTTATTGCGTCTCCTGTAACTTCATCACTCAATCACAGCTTCCACTATCACCACCACCAACTCCTGAATGGCATCACAGCACCATCGACAGACCACAAGACTCACAACAAACACAAAGAAAACCACGCGCAAATATGCCTCTGGGCGAAGTTCGGCTGTTGAAGCTGTTGCCGCGTGTAGAGGACAAAATTTCAGTAGGTGCGGCGACAGGCCAGGCGTCGCCATCTAATTGCACAGGCAACACGATAATGAAAGCATGCAAGTTGAATTTCTGGCTGGAACAGCATCTTTGCTAGAGCTCACCACACACGGAATCGATGCCAAGCGAACGCACGTCTGCAGCTACGGTTGGCATCGCCACAGTTGCCGATCCTGTTCCAATCGCAAAAAGAAACATCAGATCGTAAACACGATGGTGAAAGTCGTGTTGGCACGGAGGAGGATGCGCCGCATGCAGCAGTTGGCACGTACACTGCGCGTGACGGTGTTACTGATTGTGCAAGGAAAGAAAAAGACAAACGCTGCTCAGAACTTGAACTAGCACTTTCGATTCATCGATCTCGGCTGTCTACGCGGGCATACATTTATACACATACACATCACATACGTACAGTACATACATACATACCTACCTACATACAGACATACATACATACAGACAGCAGACAGACATTCAGACAGACAGACGGACAGACAGACAGACAGACACAGACACAACATACATACATACATACATACATACCTACATACATACATACATACATACATACATACCTACGTACGTACGTACATACGTACATACGTACATACGTACATACAGTTACATACATGCACACAGAAAGGTGTGTATATATATATATATTCAATTAGTTATTATATATTATATTATACTATATTATAGTATAGTATAGTATAGTATAGTAATATAATATAATATAATATAATATAATATAATATAATATAATATAATATTGCATTATATTATGCTATATTATATATATATATATTTATATTTATATGCACAAACACAAGCTACGATGTTTCTTCTGCAGATTGTGTTTTGTCGGGAGTTGCAAAGCTCCATCCAGAGCATCGAGGCCCGAACAGTCAAGGGGAGGCCTTCAGCACCCTCCCTTTTGGGCTCTAAGATATAGAGGTTAGATGGAGGGTCTGGGTATAGTGCATGTGACTCTATGGTCACTCTGGTTCTGTAACGGACTAGAGGGTAAACCTTAAGCCTACATGCCTTTGAACCTGGAATATGCTACCCGCCTCGACCGTTTGCAAATATTTGCGGTGGTCTGTTTCGGGAGCAGTGCCGGGCCTCTGAGCCACCCAGGTTTTTGGAGGGCGGGGGGCTTCGGTGCGTAGTTACTCCGGTCTCAAAGGGTGCCTTCTGATTAACGTCTAGCGACTACTCCTTCCTCGGGATGCTTGGAACAGCCACCTCCGTCAGGGGAAGCAAGACACGGAAGGGTCCATAATTTTTTGGACCCGCCAACAGAAAAGCTGGTTCTACTTTAAAATGAGCCCACGGCTCGCTCGCTTTTCGAGAAGGACAGGTAGCCTGAAGAGTCCGACCAGGATCCGAACCATCCTCGTCAGAATGTTCCGAACCTATGTTTAGACGTTACTGCCCCAAAAATGCCGAAATACCCTCATACCCCGCATGGTATTTTCAATTTTCTAGCTTATCATCTTCATATATATATATCTTCTTTGTTTATATAACACATATCTTTGATGATTCCCTGTTTTCTGCTTAGCAAAAGAGCAAGCTCGGGACCTGGTCGAGTGAGACTTGCGGTCGCCGTTGCAGTCCAGGCTGTGCTTTGGCAGATTAGAGCTCCGAAACCCTGGTGTGACGGCCTTGATAATTAGAATGGGCGTTGGGCGTATATAAGGAATAATTACTTTTCTTGATTCTTCAGACCTCTGTATTGGTCTGCAGCTTCCAACTTCGAACCTGAACTTTGCCTCCTGCACCCTAGGCTTTCTTGTTCGGAAGACTGAAGGTTTTCCGCGGCGAAGAGCTCAAAGTCAGTCGTGTTGCAGCACTCTTCCTCGACAGTCAGCATGTCGATGGAGAGCTTCCACCAGACATGGTGAAGAAAATGTTCACAGAAGTCCAAAGACTCGAAGGTTCACTCAACTTCACACCGCAGCATTAGCTTTTGCCAAAGACTGGAAGGTTCACCCGCCTAAGACGGGTTCATGTTCACCACTTCCGCACAAGCATTCCTTCCCCAGCTGTGTTCAAGCTTCCGCTACCCGAAGCAAAAACCGTTCCTCTGAAAGACGAACAAAACCGCGATGCATGCGCCCTCGTCCCGGCAAGTCAGCCACATGTTGCCAGGTGGCTGCGCTTCATGGATAGACCTCGGTGAGCGGTTGCGGGGCTATGGCACCCATACGACAAGCTAACCCTGGGCCTCCATGTTGCCCACATATTAGGCTACTAAACATATTGTTTACTTACCCGTGCTGGCCCGGAGCCAACAGAAGTGACCAGGCCGAGTCTCCAGGCCGGCATACCCCTCAAGACACCCATCATCAGAAACAATGTCGTCGCTGTGGTCAGTATTACCACCAGCCCCAGCCCCAGCACCAGCCCCAGCCCCAGCCCCAGCACCAGCACCAGCATCATGTCATCACCCCAGCATGGCATAGCCATGGCCTTTTTCCTGCGCCAAACTGAGGGGAATGAATACGTGTCCAAGGTCGGAGTTCAGGAATGGCGCTGGTATTGCAGTTTGCCTATAAATAGTCTCCATTGTAGTTCCCTGTTTGGGTTTAACAAGTTTCATATTTAGGATCCTACAAGTCTATAGGGTAACAGGAACTACAATGAAGACTATATAGGTAGGAGTGGGGATGGAAAGGACGGGCTCGCGGCACAGAACTTGAGTTGCGGTGAAAGGGTCTTGGCCTCCGGCTCGGGTTGTGGTGCTTGCGGGCACAGAGATTTATAAGAGAAGTATCGGCCCGTTGCTTGCCCTATAGCTACCGGCTTTCACGGCGAAGCGACTGTCTCGAAAGACAAAGATACGGGCATTCCTGACTAGACTCCGGTTTCAGGCCGGTATGCTACAATCATACTTGGGAGCCCGACAGAATCAAACTGCTGACCAGACACGGCACAGCGGTAGAATTCAACCGAAGCATCGGGGTTTAAGATAGCCGCCTGCATGCCTAGATTTCTTGTTCAGACTCGACAGTGTTTTATCCTACTGGTAGTTTTTGTTGCACCTTGTCTCTGCAACAAGGAGGTAGGGGCTCGAAGACATGGAATGTAAAAGAAGGCGGCAGCCCCAGGGTGTCCACGTATTCGGCACAGTACCTCCCTGTCTGAGGGTTTAAGTCTACGTGCCGATTGAGGCTTCGTTTCTGTGGCGAGTCAGCCACTAAGGCTACTAAGGAAAACCAACTCTTCGGACTAGCAAGCAATACCGGTTGCATTTCAGCCGGGTCGCTGAAAGGCTTGCGCCAAAGCATCTGCCAATGCGCGGCCCAGCTTTCCGGCAGCCTCTCCGCAATGGCAATTTCAGCAAATCTGGGACCCGGATTAAAATCCTAAACAAACGGATCACGACTGAGAAGCACTCATAAATAACCCTCGTAGTGCCTATATTATCAAGACCAACAGGTTTCTTGAAAAGATCCGGGATTGAACGGCACACTGCTTGGGCATGTTGTGGGAAACGACTTCTTGATTTTGCATCCTGTTTTGCCTGTTTTGCTAAAAGGTTGTGCATGTGGATTTTCGACGATGCATGCTTACCGAAATGTCTCGCTGTGAAGTATCCCAAACCCTAAGCCCTGTTCATCTAACGTAGCCACATGATTCCGTCAGGTCGGAAGTCTTTCTTTCTGACAGGCTCGGAGTACTGGTCGCATGGGCCTCTGACTGCAAGATCTTAGTTGTATACAGAGATGATAGGCTCCTTACAAAATCGAATGTCGTGGGTGAAAGAGCGCTGCACGCTGGCAGCACATGTTATTATGCCTTCAACCGAAACTCCTTGTGAAAAAACTAACCGACACATGAGACAACGATAACGACGATGAAACCACGGCTGCTACTGCTACGACGACGGCGGCTACTCCAAAACACAGCCTAACTTGAATAAGACCAACAGCAACCCTGTCATGAATGACAGTGTCAACGGCTTGTCAATCGGCCAACCTCTCGAACTCGCTACTGATGATGGCATTTTCATCTGTGGTGGTCGGAGACGCCCATGAAGTTAACAACGACAAAGAACCACTATTATACTATAGGAACGTGACTGGCGGAGTTGACCCATGCAATAAGCTGGGATCTGCCTTAGCATTTAATCTCGGGTCGCTGTTCGCGAGATCAAACTTGTTGAGCGCAGCTTGCACCTGCCAATGGTGCGAATTGAGCTCCAAAACACTTATCATCGCAAGGACTGTGTACTTAACGCACAATTCGGGGAGTGATGGTTTGCGGGCTGCAAGCCTACAAGCTTCGCGCTGGACGTGACGTTCTGGACAGAACATGACCCCCCCAAGCAAAGGTTTCAGGGTCGACGGCAGCATTCGATTCCGGATTCAGAAAATTGGCGCTCAAAGCGCAAGTGGGTGCTACATTGCCCTTGGAATCCCAGCTTGCTTTCAGGGCCTCGAGGCATGCAACGTGTTGGTGACTAAATTGGTGAAGCTTGGGGAGTGTAGGGCCAAGCTGGCACGATGTGAAAGGGGACCTCAAGGTCCCTCTTGAAGTCTATATTCTGTTAGGGTTTAGGGTTTAGGGTATAGGGTTTAGGGTATAGGGTTTAGGGTTTAAGGTATAGGGTTTAGGGTATAGGGTGTAGGGTATAGGTTTTAGGGTTTAGGGTATTCTGTCATCAACTCAACAAAACCAACCAAAGCCAGATCCCCGGAGAGTCGGTGCCTCTGGATACTTGTCCGCGATCCTGGCGCTGGCTGTATCAACATTGTCGCAGCAGCAGGCCCATCAAGGAATGCATGAAACGACTGCCCGGTGCATCGCAAGGATAGTTGCTATTTTCATAAGAAGATCGAATGCTTATTACGTACCGAGTACTCAGAGTCCTCTTGAAACTGCGATTGTAGATGATCCGCACATCGCAGAAGGTCGTGGCAGTCACTGTCGCTGTTCGCAGGAGAGCCGCACCCAAGAACACGAGTTCTCCTGCACATGGACACTGACTGGTTGAAGGGTCCCCATGAGGGTTTCTGAAAGCATACAAGGGCCCTCATCAGGGTTTAATTTCCCTAAAGGGTGTTGCAAAGCTTCATGGCTAGGTATGTGTGTGGGTGGCACTAAGTCTTTGTAAATGTAGTTGCCCACCCTAATTTACTCCTGATCATTAAACACATAACTCAGGGCAGGAGGTTGTCAGGATCAAGCCAAGCGCACGCATATGGGCTTTGCCAATCCAAGAAGCGGTGATCTATAAACGTTTGGCCCTCCAGCCATTGAGAACCCCTCATGGATACTCGTGTTGCCATGGAGCCGAAGTCCGAAGTCCCTGAGCGCTAAACCCTCTCTTAGTTGCTGAGTTCATAAGCACAAAAAAGTGTGTGTACATTTTCAGTTCTATAAGGGATCAGACTATCCCAAAAAGTTTTAATCTGTAGAAATTCAGCTCCTAAGCTCTTTGAATGCCAAGGAGCCAAAGTAAGAGCCTTCTCCAAGGTGTTTCACCACCCGACCATTCACCGAGGCAGCGACACGGCCTCTTAGACACTCCCAAGTCAAGTGATGAAGGGTTTGGGATCACAAACCCTCAGCCCTATAAACCATAGAAAGTGGGGGCTTTAGGGAGTAGGATTTTTGTTCTGAGGGACGGGGGTGAGAGGAGTTTACGGTTTATAGGGTTTGTGAATTTACGGACAAAAAATCATCTGCATGTGTGGCTTTTCAAGTTGGGGTTGTATATGTATGTAGATAGATAGATAGATAGATAGATAGATAGATAGGGGTTCCACAACAGGCTTGGGAGCCCCAAGCTACCTGAAAGCAGCATCACTATAGTTGCATTCATCTTCTGTCCGAAGAGAGCCTCACTGGCTGTCCCAGCCTCAGCTCCCTGCTTCTGCAGCCCAACCGAGGGGCAAGTACTCAAAAGACAAGAGATGTTGCCGCACTCGGGTAGTCATGCAGGTAATGATACTACCAATATTTCTTCTACTACCAATAATGCTGCAGCCATAGTATGAGAGAATGCTACCCATAAACCTGTAACAGTACTATAATCACACTATAATAATGCAGGCCGGGAAGCCCTTGGAGACTACCATCATGCTGTCACCAGGAGCCCCCTCACGCAGCAGGACCGTGCCGGGCATAACCAACACCTTTCGAATGCTTTCCTCAGAGGGCAAGGCTGTAAAAGTTGTTTTTTGGACACCTTTTTCCGACTGCGTGTTTGCGGTAGGAGAGCCCCATAGGCCGGGCCTTTAGCAGACTCACAGGGTGCAAGTGCCCAATCCGGGGTTCTATAGATTCTGTCTTGGGTGTTGCCAGGGTTTCTCAACTGCTCGTGTTACTAGGCTTCCGTCTGGCCCGATATCATCCTCATACCGAAATTGGCCATCGGGTACGTGTAGCTCTCTGATATATTTTCTCTGTCTGCATCCCCGAGACCACAGACCATGTCAAGATTGTGATTATGATCAGAGTCTTTAGAAGGATCCTGCTTTAAAAAGCGTTCAATGTGTGTACTTTAGTCTTTCAAACTTGAATTTTGCCAGGCGCAGCTTGCATGCCCGGTTCTCCACTATCCGATATTATCGGTTCGTGCGCTGTCATTTCTTCGGCTCGTCTCTTTCCGTCCAACTTCAGAAGGCCTAGCATTTGCAGGCCTAGGTACTCGTGCGTCGGCCCTCCCTCCGCATCGAATTTTCTCTTCTTGCACTATTACAGAATGCTGTTCGTCGAGCTTCGTCCTTGTTCTTGAGGTTCATCCTGCTTCATCGTCCCTCTTTGGCGGTCCGTCCGCAGGATGGTACCGCAGTCAGAACTTTGTGGAGTCTAAACCGCCCTACGCAACTAAGTAATCCGAGATCACAAAGCAGCTTTATGGTTCAGGGCGCACAGCACACTCCTCGCATGACTTGAGCACAGATCTCTAAACCCAATTCGAAGCCATGCCGGCGTACCACGACCCCTTACGCACACCCTGATCGTCTCTGATCTGTTCTGGCCCAGCCTACATCCAAAGTCAATCGAATCCCTGAATTGCAGGAACCTCTACAAACAAAAAAGCTCAAGCTTGTAGACACCCCTGGGCCGTGGTGCCGGACTGCTCAGCAGCTCATCCAAGAATGCCGGCCCGAAATTACCTGGTTTTCCCACAGCTTAGCTCAGGGCCACACAGGCTTTAAGGTGACGCAAGGCTCCCAACGAATGGTTGCAACATGTGCGTGTTTGGGGTATACCTGACATTTACATAGCTGACTAATTACTATCAACCTGAACAGAAAAGAGCTCATGAGTCATGTGTACATACCTGTTCATGTTAGTATACATAGGCACACACGCACGCGTGCAGGCACGCACGCACGCACGCACG